AAGGCTGTTTGATCCTGACTTCTCTGCCCCTCCTCTTGTTCAGATGTCCACAGACTGAACCTGTAGCCCTTCTGCACATGCTCAGTTTAGAGTGTATTGCTAGAGAGGATTTTTTTTTATTGGGAAGTTGCATGTGATCAGCACAGAGCCAATCCACACTGTCCAGACAGAGGGTCAGGGGTTTTGCATCCTCCTAGAGCAGAAAGAAAACTCCTCCTACAAGCTTTAACCAGTGCTCTGCTGAAGTCACAAGACTGCTATATATTGCTGATAAGAAAAGGTATTTAGCAGTTTATATTTACTAAAATAATTGCATTTCCATGTTTTGTGTACTGTGGAGACCAGATATAGTGAATGCAGGGTCCGGGGTTTAGTAACACTTTAAATCTATAATGTTTCTTGCAAAGCGGAAAGGAGACTATTTGTTTATGTCTACATGAGGGTGCAGTCACTAGTATGTATGTCAGTTTGGATGTATACGTGCTAAATGTTGGCTGCATTTTCTCTTTACTGGAAATGTTCTTGAGATTATACTTTGATTTTTGTATATGTGAAGTTTTGCCATTAATAAAAGAGTAAAAAAAAAAACCCCAAAAATTATATATATATATATATATATATATATATATATATATATATATATATTTAGCAGAGGCCCTAGAGAATAAAATGACAGGTATTTACCTTTTTTTTATGTCACATTGTATTTGTGCAGCAGTTTTTCAATGAAAATTTTTGGGAAAAAATACATTTTAATGAATTTTAATGCACACAAACACAATATAATGCCAATTTTTTTAAACTAAAATATAAAATATGGTGTTATGCTGAATAAATAAATACCTAACTTGTCACACTTTAAAATTGCACAAGTTCACGGAATGGTGCCAAACTACGGTATTTCAAAATCTTCATTAGCGACGCTTTAATCTGCTGTATGGTATAGGAATCCAGAAGTGACTTCTGGTATCCCCAGATGCATAGGTGACCATTGGGGAATTACACAGGAGATCTGCTGCTAGAATTATTGTTCTCACTCTGATGTTTGGGGCAAATCTCACATGTGTGGTGCGATCACTGCTTACATGTGCATGAAGGACCATCACGTACGTTTGCCCTTGCGTGCGAGCATGGACCAACAGGGGGGGGGGGCTTTTACATTTTAAAAAAAAATGATTTACTTTTTTTATTTTTATACTTTTCTCTTGAAAATTTTTTTGATCACTTTTAATGCTGTCACAAGGAATGTAAACATCCGTTGTGACAGCAATAGGCAGTGAGAGGTCCTCTTTATGGACAGATCTGGGGTCTATTCCCCAGATGTCTCCTCTGCCCTTAAAAGCATCTAATCCCACCAAGATCAGTGTGATCAGATGCTATTTTCAATGTAAAATCAGCGCTGTTTACATCTGCGGACACCAGTAGTCACTTCTGGTTTCCTATACCATAGAGCAGATTGGGGGCCTTCCAGTCCTCAAACATCTCTATGGTGAGCTGATAGAACCACTGCTTAAGTTCAGGGTTCTCTGGTGGGACGGAGATCCTGGAGAGGCGGCGGGAAGGGCAGGGTGACCTTTCCCACTGCCTGTAAAAGCAATCCAGTGGCTAAATAGATTAATTAAAGAAAAGCTGATCACCCACAGAAAAAAAAAATACCAGGATGATGCCTATAGCTGCAGGCATCATCCAGGTGTAACCACTGGAAGTACCAATGTAAATGTATGTATTTTCAAGTGAAAATAAAATAATAATAATAATAATTATATATCAGATGCAGATGATTTTTTTTTGTTTCCTCCAAGAGTTTCACTTTAGAATTGGTCACCTGGGATGCAATGTACAGTATACAGTTCACATACTGCATGACTGCGAGAGGAACCCATCAAAACTAATTACAGTGCAGTTATGTGTGTTATGTATTCAGTTTAAAGTGCTGACCTGACCTAGCAACAGTAACAGCGTCTCCTCAGGCACCAAACTGTCCTACGGAGCACTGAAGGACAGTATACCCCCCACCCAAAACACACACACATACACACCTGTGTGCAGTCTACACCAGCCATATTACAAGTATGGGGTCATCCCATATAGAGGTCCAAGCAGAATGTCTCACCCAAACGAGTTGGCCCTACTGCCATAAATACCTAATATCCCCAATTTCAGGGCTTCATCCCTGGAAAATGTAATGTTGCTCATTTAGAAAACTGGTTCACTAATAAAAACATTTTCAGTATGTTGCCTTCAAAAAGTCAGCAAGTAAAATGAGTATTGAACACGTCACCATTATTCTCGGTAAATATATTTCTAAAAGTGCTATTGACATGAAATTTCCACCATATGTTGGTAACAACCCATGCACTCCATACATACAAAGAAACCAAAACAAATAACTTCAGAAATTAAGTTGTGTAATAAAATGGAATGACACCGAAAAAGTATTGAACACATTAACTGAAATGTATTTAATATTTTGTTGGTAATGACAGCTTCAAGATGCCTCCTGTATGGAGAAAACTAGTCACATGCATTGGTCAGGTGTGATTTTGGCCCGTTCTTCCAGTTTTCAAATCTTGAAGGTTCCGTGGGCCTCTTCTATGAACTCTGATCTTTAGTTCTCTCTAGAGATTTTCTGTTGGATTCAAGTCAGGTGTTTGGCTGGGCCATTCTAGCAGCTTTATTTTCTTTCTTTGAAGCCAGTTGAGAGTTTCCTTGGCTTTGTGTTTGGGATCATTGTCTTGCTGAAATGTCTACCCTCATTTCATTTCATCTTCATCATCCTGGTAGATGGCAGCTGATTTTTATCAAGAATGTTGTGGTACATTTTTCCAGTCATCCTTCCTTCAATGCAATGACATTTGCCAGTACCGTATGCTGAAAAACAACCCCACACCATGATGTTCCCACCTCCATGTTTCACTGTTGGGATGGTGTTTTTTTGGGGTGATGTGCAGTGCCATTTGCCCTCCAAACATGATGTGTATTACGGCATCCAAAGAGTTCAATTTTGGTCTCAACTGATCAGATTATATTTCTCCCAGTATTTCACAGGCTTGTCTAAATGTTGTGCAGCAAACTTTAAACAAGCTTCAACATGCATTTTTCTTCAGCAAAGGAGTCTTGCTTGGTGAGTGTGCATACAGGCCATGGTGGTTGAGTGCATTATTTATTGTTTTCTTTGAAACAATTGTACCTGCTAATTCCAGGTCTTTCTGGAGCTCTCTACAAGTGATCCTTGGCTCTTGGACAACTCTTCTGATAATTCTTTTCACTCCTCTGTCAGAAATATTGTTAGGAGTACCTGGTCGTGGCTGGTTTATGATGAAATTATGTTCTTTCCACTTCCAGATTATGGCCCCAACAGTGCTCACTGGAACATTCAGAAGTTTAGAACTTCTTTTGTAACCAATACCATCAGTATGTTTTGCAACAATAAGGTTGTGAAGGTGTTGAGAGAGCTCTTTGCTATTACCCATCATGAGATGTTTCTTGTGTGACAACTTGGTAATGCGACCCCTTTTTATAGGCCATCAGTTGAGACTGAACCAGCTGATATTAATTGCACTGACAAGGGGCAGGAATGCTTTCTAATTATTGATAGATTCAGCTGTGTTTTGGCTCTCATGCCTTTTTGCACCTCCCTTTCTTCCTGTGTTCAATACTTTTTCCCTGTGTCATTCTGTTTTATTACACATAACTTAATTTCTGAACTTATTTGTTTTTGTTCCTTTTATGTATGAATTAATTGCATAGGTTGCTACCGACATGTGGTAAAAATTTCATGTCAATAACACCTTTAGAAATACATTTACCAAAAAAAAATGGTTCAATACTTATTTTACCCACTGTATATTTCACAAGAGCTGCAAAGCATAGAAACCCCATTTGTGTGCAACAAAAACCTTTACATGCAAAGATTATACCTTGTAAAACTAGCAGTGACATCATCACTGTTCTGTATATAGTCTGTGCTGAGAGCAGAACTGTGGGAGGGGCCCAACAGGCTCCCTCCATTACAGGCTGCCTTCCTAGATGAGTGGAGGCTGTTATAGACACAAAGAAGAGGGAAGGCAACTCAATATCGATAGCCCTGGGGGGAGGGGGCATCTCCATATTAAAGGCCATAGAGGGAGAGGCAACTCCATATTAGTGGCCATAGAGGGAGGGGACAACTTCATATAAATGGCCATGGGGAGAAGGGGAAACTCCATATAAATGGCCATGGATGGGGCAACTCCATATTAATGGACATGGGGGGGGGGGAAGAAAAACTCCTTATAAATGGTTATGGAGAGAAGGGGCAACTCCATATTAATGGTCAAGGAGGGAGGGGGCATCTCCATATTAATGGTCATGGGTGGAGTTGGAAACTCCATATAAATGGCCATGGGGAGAAGGGGCAACTCCATATTAATGGCCATGGATTTGCAATGGTATGCCCAACAAGCTCATGTGGGTGCGATGGTCAGGGGTCCACAACCTTTTGGCCATACAGCGAACAAATATATGGTATAACAACACTTTAATATTGCAACATATAATAGATAATAGTATGATATATTATAATAATTGCAACATTTTATATGAATGGTTAATAGTAATAAGAAATATAATAATAACCATGTTTGACCACTAGCCTACCAGGCACTTATCCCCCCTTCCTGTCCAGGCCAATTTCCAACTTTCAGCGCTGTCACACTTTGAATGACAATTGCACGGTCATGCAACACTGTACCCATATGAAATTTTTATCATTTTTTTTGTGACAGATAGAGCTTTCTTTTGGTGGTATTTAATCACCTTTGGGTTTTTTATTTTTTCTTAAACAAACCAAAAACCACTGAAAATTTTGAAAAAAAAATTTTTTCTTAGTTTTTGTTATAAAATTTTATAAATAAGTGATTTTTCTCTTTCACTGATGTGCACTAATGAGGCTGCAGTGATGGGCATTAATAGGCTGCACTAATGGACACTGAGAGGTGGCACTGATGGGCACTGACAGGCATCACTGATGGGCACTAAAAGGCAGCACTGATATATGGCACTGATAGGACGGCACTGATAGGTGGCAGTGATAGGTGGCACTGACTGGCACTGTTAGGTGGCACTGACTGGCACTGTTAGGCAGCACTGATAGGCAGCACTGACGGGCACTGATAGGCGGCACTGATGCACACTGATAGGCGGCACTGACTGGCACTGATAGGTGGCACTGATTGGCAGCACTAATAGGTGGCACTGATTGGGATTGATAGGTGGCACTGACTGGCACTGATGGGTGACACTGAAAGGCAGCTCAGATGGGCACTGATACGTGGCATTGATGTGCACTGGTAGGCACTGATATGTGGCATTGATGTGCACTGGTAGGCACTGATATGTGGCATTGATGTGGCACTGATGGGCACTGGCAGGTGGCATAGATGAGCACTGAGAGCTGGCACTGATGGACACTGACAGGTGGCACTGCTGGGGCTACACTGATCATCAGGGTACACTGATTATCAGTGCCCTGATGATCAGTGTACATGTCCCCTCTGAGGAATGCCGATTACTGGCTCTGCTCTCCTCTCGCGTTGTCAGCGTGACAGCTCGTGAGGAGAGAAATGCCGATAACCGGCATTTCCCTATTTACATGTGATCAGCTGTGATTGGACACAGCTGATCACATGACCGAGCCGACATCTTCGGCTCTTTCCGTGGATCGGTGATCCGCTGTGTCCGAGGGACACAGTGCACCGCCAATAGCCACGCTGCTCACTCCCGGAGCTGCGCATGCGCGGTGAGAATGGGAGGACGTCATATGACGTCCTCCCAGAATGAGAGAACCACCTTGCGCCCGTCATTGGACTATATGGCGGGTGGGAGGCGGTTAATGGCCAGTTACACCAAAAAGTCTTTTTTTTTTTAGTATGGGATACTGTAATGCATATTCTTATGTTACCTTTATGGGTGCAAGTGGAGGGGAGGTAGGAGACAGCGGACACCAGAGAGGGGAGTATAATATGTCTTCTATTACAGGGAATGGAGGGGAGGTAGGAGACAAGGGACACTGGAGAGGGGAGTATAATACCTCTTCTATTGCAGGGAATGGAGGGGAGGTAGGAGACAAGGGACACTGGAGAGGGGAGTATAATACCTCTTCTATTACAGGGAATGGAGGGGAGGTAGGAGACAAGGGACACCGGAGAGGGGAGTATAATACCTCTTCTATTACAGGGAAGGGAGGGGAGGTAGGAGACAGCGGACACCGGAGAGGGGAGTATAATACCTCTTCTATTACAGGGAATGGAGGGGAGGTAGGAGACAAGGGACACTGGAGAGGGGAGTATAATACCTCTTCTATTACAGGGAATGGAGGGGAGGTAGGAGACACCAGAGAGGGGAGTATAATACCTCTTCTATTGTAGGGAATGGAGGGGAGGTAGGAGACAAAGGACACCGGAGAGGGAGTATAATACCTCTTCTATTACAGGGAAGGGAGGGGAGGTAGGAGACAGCGGACACCGGAGAGGGGAGTATAATACCTCTTCTATTACAGGGAATGGAGGGGAGGTAGGAGACAAGGGACACTGGAGAGGGGAGTATAAACCTCTTCTATTACAGGGAATGGAGGGGAGGTAGGAGACACCAGAGAGGGGAGTATAATACCTCTTCTATTGTAGGGAATGGAGGGGAGGTAGGAGACAAAGGACACCGGAGAGGGGAGTATAATACCTCTTCTATTACAGGGAAGGGAGGGGAGGTAGGAGACACTGGACACTGGAGAGGGGTGTATAATACCTCTTCTATTACAGGGAATGGAGGGGAGGTAGGAGACACAGGACACTGGAGAGGGGAGTATAATACCTCTTCTATTACAGGGAAGGAGGGGAGGTAGGAGACACTGGACACTGGAGAGGGGTGTATAATACCTCTTCTATTACAGGGAATGGAGGGGGGTAGGAGACACAGGACACCAGAAAGAGGAATATAATACATCTTCTATTACAGAGAATGGAAGAGGGGGGTGTAGGAGACACTGGACACTGGAGAGGGGGAGTATACAGTAACACCTCTTCTATTGTAGGGAATGGAGGGGAGGGTAGGAGACACTGGACATAGAGAGGGGAGTATAATACCTCTTTTATTACAGGGAATGGAGGGGAGGTAGGAGATATTGACACTGGAGAGGGGAGTATAATACTCTTTTATTACAGGGAATGGAGGGGAGGTAGGAGATAATGGACACTGGAGAGGGGAGTATAATAACCTCTCCTCCTCTATTGTAGGGTATGGAGTGGAGGTAGGAGACACATTGGACACCAGAGTGGGGGAGTGTAATAACCTCTTCTATTGTAGGGAATGGAGGAAAGGTAAGAGACACGGGACACCAGAGAGGTGAATATAATAGAGTATAATACCTCTTCTATTACAGAGAATGGAGGGGAGGTAGGAAACACGGAACACCAGAGAGGGGAGTATAATACCTCTTCTATTACAGGGAATGCAGGGGAGGTATGAGACAAGGGACACCGGAGAGGGGAGTATAATACCTCTTCTATTACAGGGAAGGGAGGGGAGGTAGGAGACAGCGGACACCGGAGAGGGGAGTATAATACCTCTTCTATTACAGGGAATGGAGGGGAGGTAGGAGACAAGGGACACTGGAGAGGGGGAGTATAAAACCTCTTCTATTACAGGGAATGGAGGGGAGGTAGGAGACACCAGAGAGGGGAGTATAATACCTCTTCTATTGTAGGGAATGGAGGGGAGGTAGGAGACAAAGGACACTGGAGAGGGGAGTATAATACCTCTTTCTATTACAGGGAAGGGAGGGGAGGTAGGAGACACTGGACACTGGAGAGGGGTGTATAATACCTCTTCTATTCTAGAACAGAGAGGAGGTAGGAGACATGGGACATTGGAGAGGGGAGTATAATACTTCTTGTACAGTAGGGAATAAAGGAGAGGTAGGAGACAAGGGACACCAGAGAGGGGAGTATAATACCTCTTCTATTACAGGGAATAGAAGTGAGATAGGAAACACGGGATATCAGAGAGGATAGTATAATACATCTTTTATTACAGAGAGAATGGATGGGAAGTAGGAGCCATGGGACACTGATGAGGGGAGTGTAATACCTCTACTAGATTGTAAGCTCGAAAGAGCAGGGCCCTCGATCCCCTCATGTTTTGCATTGTATTGGTATTGTTCTGTCACATGTTCTGTCCCCCTTTGTAATGTACAGCGCTGAGCGAACTATCGGCGCTTTTATAAATACTATATAATAATAATAATAATACTAGAACAGATGGGAGGTAGTATCTATCTATCTATCTATCTATCTATCTATCTATCTATCTATCTATCTATCTATCCAACAGTCACACTAGCGTTTCCTTTTAGGACAGAGTCTGAGGGACCAGAAAGGTGTACTGTAGACCAAGCCATGCCCATGTTGTATACGTATATATTAACCTCTTATACAGCCCTATCAGAAATTCATACAATAATCCAGTTCACTTTCACCTCAATAAATGCCATGGCTCTTCTGATCATGGGTGACCTTCCTTGGAACGTGTTCTAGATGCCTCTCTACCTCTGAATGATTAGCGCCTTTCTCATCGCCATGACGCCATGAAGGACAAGTCGGACCAGTTTGTAGAGACATTCCTGAAGACAGGTGATTGAGAACAAGCCAGGTATTACCTGACTCGTTAAGATTAGACAGCATCTGGTATAATTAGCAAGTGATTGGTCATGCTGGCTTAGAGCCATTACTTCAACCCCACAGAACTTGCAGGTAGTACAATTAAATGGCAGAGAGGAGATTTTCACACGAGGTTTAAGGTGCTTAAAAATACGGATTTCAGAATAGATCAATGCCATAATTAACTGTTCTTGACACCTTGTACTGGTTAGCTTAGCTCATTATCTTTGTTGGGGGGGGTTATAATTTTCCATATCTGCTGTGGGCCTATAATTGTTGTTATGGGCATTATATGTTTCTATTTAAATAGGAAGCTCGTAAGATTAAACTTATTGTAATTTCACGGGGAAACAAACTGCAATTGCCTCCCATTTGGAGGAAGTGATAATCTTTTCATACCAAATTCCTCTTTCTTGCTTGGTTTTGCCTCTTTTTGGTCTGATGTATAAGTCTCATGAGAAAGCGTTGTATTGAAATGAACCTGAGCACACATTATGTACATTGCACAGTGGCTTAGCGGTTAGCACTTGTGCCTTGCAAAATCCTGACCAGACCCGGGTTTTGAGGCAACCAGACCAGAACACCACCGGCTTGGAGTTTGTATGTTTTTCCCTGTGCTTGCATGAGTTTCGTTTGATTTACTCCCACACTCCAAAGACAGCTGAATAGTTAAATGGTTTAGTTGAATGTGCCCATGATGGCTGCCTCACCTCCTAAGTTCTTTGAGTCCCCAGGAAGGAAAACACTAGAGAGCAGTGGTTGTCAATTTATAAGCTCAAATCTGGCTCCTGAAATCACCAAAGGGCCACACATAATGTTCAATATATGTAATGCTTGAGCGGACTGTTAGACTGCAGACCTAATAGAGGAAATGAGGGTCAGAGAGTGAGGACAGGATACATGTTTGGCTGGGGATATTACTGCAGAAGACAATACGAAATATGTTTCATGAGGCTAGTAGAGATCAATGCTACAGACTGTTGAGGTCAGAAGGCAGTACATCATACACCTTAAAGGGATACAGATTGGGTACCAGGGCTAAAGAAATACGAAATAAATTAAAATATTTACATATTCCGAACAAATAGTAAAAGCACTTTAAAGCAAGCCCTAATTCACCTCTGTATCTAAAAGACATTGTGAAGAAATGAATCTTCAAACTTCACAACAAGAAGCACTGAAATTTTAGGGGTTTTTTTTGCTATGGGAGCAGTATTTTTGCCCTCTAATGCAAACCCATTTTTGTGGTAAAGGAATTTTTGACTGATATGTTTTCCATTGAAATGAATGGAAACACATCAAACCACATTCGCAATGTGCATCTTGCTCAAACACTCGTTGGTCATGACAGATGTAATACACATCATGACACACAACAAACATGTGTCTATGCAGCACATAATTATCTGCTTCCCGACTGCCCTATAGCAGATATACTGCTACAGGGTGGCAAAGGGTGTGCAAAATCACGTCTCTATATACATGATTTTGCATTTCAAAAGGTAGGAGGGCGCGCTAACCATGCGCGCCCTGCCCGTGGCGCCATTCAATGTCTCGGCTGTCAATGAGACCGGGTCCCAGCCAGTGATTACTCGCCGGCGCCTGGTGATTGCCGAGCATCTCCGATAGGGAGGAGAACTGTTTGTAAACAAAACATTTCTTCTCCCTGTCAGCTCATGCACACTGCTTTGCAGGGCTGTGCACAGCACAGCCATACAAAGCAGTGTGGTTACAATGAAGCACTTGGACACAGCCCAATGTACAACAGCACACAGTTAACCTTTGATCACCCCACATGTTATCCCCTTCCTGCCCTGTGCCATTAGTTTTAGTGTCAGTGCTTTTTTTTTTTTTTAGCACTGATCACTGTTATTGGTGTCAACTGGGGGATGTCAGTGACACCAAGTCAGGTCCCCCCAGTGTCATAATGCCCCAACTGCAGTCCCACTATAAGTCACTGAAAAAAATTCCCAGTAGCTATACCGCCATTTGTAAAACACTATAACTATCAAGTAAACCAATTAATTTACACGTATTGGGATTGTTTTTTTAGCAAAGACATGGAGCAGAATAACATTTTGGCCCTAAATTTATGATGAAATTAGATTTTTTTTACATTTTTGTACTGGACATGTTTAATAGCAAAAAAGTCAAAAATATAGTTTTTTTTTTCAAAATTGTTGGTCTTTTTTATAGCGCAAAAAATAAAAAAACGCACAGGTGATCAAATTACCACCGAAAAAAAGCTCGAATTCGTGGGAAAAGAGGACATAAATTTAATTTTTGGGTGCAGCCGTTGCATGTTGCAACTGCGCAATTGTCAGTCAAAGTAACGCAGCGCCGTAACGCAAAAAATGGTATCTGGTCAGGAAGGCGCGGGAAATCCTCAGGAGGTCAAGTGGTTACAAATGCACATTGACATATGTTTTAATGCGTTTCTATTGTTTTTATTGCCAAACTCATCAGGAGGAAAAAATTGCATAGGCGTGAATCCAGAAGTCTTTATTGTTATCTTTGAGGGTCTTTTGAGGATGAATTATCTCACAGTACAAACAGCTAAAAGGGTCAGTGAGGGCTTATTTTAAACCTCTTTAACTGTTTTTGTTATTCAAAAAATATGTAAATGGTTTAATGTTCATAGTCTGGGCACAGGTGCCACTTTAATTACAAAAGGTGTTACGCTGCACTGAGCCTTTCAACCAACCTCTCTATTATTACATTTGTATTACATTTTATTCAGAGCTGTAATGTTGGCCAGTCATTCTTGTGATGCAACCAACTAAAAACTGGCAGCTGGTCAAATCCGATTATAAACAATAGACCGTACAAAATTTCTCCATCTAGCACTTGGTTTAGCTAACCCAGCATAGAAAAAAATAATATCTAATTAATAGACTTCCAGCTTTTAGATGACATCCTGAAGTTACTAGTTCAGAAGTCTCTGAGGCCCTAGAAAAAAAGCCTATACCAATATACAGCTGACAATAATTCTTTTTGCTGTTTACAAAACGGATAAATTTAAACAAAAGATAACAACAATAATAGTAAAATAGTCTCTTGTGGGGTCAAAACACCTCAAGAACAAGGCCACATAGGTAAGTAAACATAGTATAAGAATAGAAAGCATAAAAAAAGATAAAACTTTAGGATCGAATACACTTACAGAAGTAAGGCTCAGTCAGTAAGAAACACAAATGCAAAACCAAAAGCGTTTTCCAAAGGTTCAAAAACACATCAAACCATGATAGACCATAGTCAGAGAATAAACCATGGTTTTTCCAACCATCCCAATTTTTTGTTGAACAAGTGGCATCCTATCAAGCAGTAAGAAATGAACATTGCGTTCAATGAAGCATAAACCATTGTCAACTCTCCGCCAGGACGGAGGCCCAATAGAACCGTCGGGGACTTTCCAATGAAGAGCATAATGGCCCATAAGGGATTAGACGAAAATCGTACGGATTAGGCCTCATTCTCGTTGACAGGAACACCCGGAAAAATAGGGGCACAATTAAAAAGATTTGCAAAGACATAGTTATTGGAGAAAACAGTTAAAGGGACATCAAAACTCAAAAAGGATCATAAAAATTAATAAAAAAAAATAAAAAAAAAAAACCCTTGCCCAAAAAAGATCAAAAAGAAAAAAACTCAAAAAAAACAAACCAAGAAAAAAAAATATCGATGGGGCCCCTAAAAAAACCAAAACCTCGGGCAGTGCCTGACGTTCCAAATATAGGTCAGTCCGCCCTTGTAAAAGAAAATCCCACCAAGGCAGAAGGCTCAACTTACCCCCGAGCACGATTGCTATTCTAACAGAAATCAAAAGAGAGAGATATGGAAAAAAACCAACAAAAAACATTACAAGGGATACTAGAGAGAGCGGCAGCCCCCCTAAAACAGAGGGGTTGCCGACATCTCTGGGAACATGATGTAATGAAGTCTAGAGGGGGTTATAGAGCTGACAAATAATTCTAAATAGAGAATTGTGGGGGGTCTTCATTAGGCAATGCCCCCCCCCCCCCCCCCTCCCACCTGGTTATCATTGGTAAGGGGGTCGGTATAGCTATGGAGGGTGAGGTAGCTGGAGTCTCTTGGTACATGGCCCAGTATGCCTCTGCCTCTGTCAGGAGTCTTGTTTGCCTCTGGGGGTCAGGCAGGGGGTCCTTCCTGTCTTTGAGGGAAGGGGACCAAAGACACACCCTTAGTGCACTTTTTGTGTAAGGGACACGCCGGGCGGTTACTCACTAGCACTCCACCTGATCGGATGTTCCAGCGCAGGTGTCTAAGCCCAGAGTTTCTTGT